TGAGGTAAAATTATTTAATTTAAAGAGCGAAACTTTTTGCTCCTGGAAATTAGCCTAAATGCTGAGAGGTGATTTTATCAATATTTTTTTCTTAATCAATTAGTATTAGCTAATACAAGAATTGATAAATGCTGAACAAAATTAATTTAGTGTTAAAAACATAAAAAATATGCAGTTTTTTTTTAGTTTTTGCTTAACAAAGATAACTTTTTTTATACAAAACTATTGTTAAAATAAGTTACAAAAAATAATGACCTTATAAAGGCAAACTATTAAAATAATAATTAATTTAATTCCATTAAGTAAATATTTTTATGAAATTATCAAAATTTTAGTATAATTAACGTTTTATTTATTTATTTAATTAAACTATTGTTTCAACTTCCATTAAACTATATCAAAAAATTTAAATTAAAAACATTGATAATTTATTTACTAAATATTTATATTTTCAGCCACACACAACAATTTGAACAATGCGATTAAAAAATTAATTAAGTTTTTCTCGTGGTTTCTATTCAATTCTTCTAGATTTCAAAGAAAATAATATGTTAAATCGAATAATGCTCAACAGACCTTACAAAATTAATATAATATTTAATTTGAATGAAATATAAAACTCCTGGTTTTCTACCAAACCAATTTAATTAATTCAATTCCTTTTCTTGTTCAATGGAAACATCACAATATATTCAGAGTAGGTCGTCATTCGTGTCGACAACAATAACACCGTTTTGCGCCCCATTAATGAACGGCGTGCGAAAAAGCGAAGCCTTTCCCATCGCAATAATGAACTTGATTTCTAATCCCGCGCGCCTTCGCCGTTTGAATTGATAAAAGAGAACTCGAATAGAAAATCGCTGCTTCTTCTTTCTCCGAATGCATTATTATCGGGCATATTCGATTCGTGGGACGCCGAGAAGAAGCAAAAGAAGAAGAGGCACAACAGGCTTTAATTTGCCCTCGGGCGAGCCAGAGTGAAACGACCAGCGAAAGAAACACACCGGCCGCGCCAAGCTCTCGGTCAACTTTTAAATATAAAGCCAGCAAAATTTTGACCTCTCTCCTCTCGCTTGCCAACAAGAAAGCCTTTGTTTTCAACGAAAGAGGAGGAAAATAAAAAATTTGAATTAAATAAATTCAAATAGAATCTAAAATTTTGATAAACATTTTCCATTTACACATAAAAGGCGAAAAACTACAAAAATTTCAGCCTCTCTTAAGAATTAAAACTATGAGTTCTGAATAATTAATATATAAATTAAATTTGTTGTTTCAAGTGAATTTTGATTGGATTCTGAGGCCAATCGTGACTTTCATCACAGCACTGAGGCCATATGCGCGACGAGTTTTTGACTCACCGAAAATCCTGCCGTGTACTTTCGATATCCGCGCGAATATTGGCGAATCCACCTGCACTTCTTGTCGATAAGAAACACCACTAAAGTCACCAAGCAAAGTCAAAACATGGCACCCGAGCACGACCGACTGTGTGTTTTTGCAGCAGAAGAAGAAGAATCGGTCACGGCGAGTGACGCGGCGGAGGCACCATGGCGCTCGCTCGCACGCTTTGTTCCAACTGAAGGTTCGGTTCTCGTTATGGTGCTCGAGCCAAGGGTACACGGCGCTGCTCGGCGGCGGCCACGCAGCACACGATCGCCTCCGGACACCGACGACGAGCGCCGCCGCCGCTGCAGCTTCTCGCCTTTTCACGCCAAAGGCCAATTCGAATCAGTTTTGATAATTAAAATGACATTCAAATCATTTAACTTGCTGTTAAAAATAGACGCATTCGGTTGGAGTGGAAGGAAAAAATTGCTTTAAAAATGAGTAAAAATGCAAATCCATTTTAGGTCTCTATTAATTTTTTTGAAAAAATTGACTCTCAAGGAGATGATAAGATCGGGCTTTTCCTCTTTGCAAAAATGTTATATGTTCAAAAACAAAACGGCTCTACCAGTTTTGTTCACGGCCTGCGACCCTATTTCACGAGCAAGAAAAATACACTTTTTTTTTTGTTTAAATGTAATTTTTTTCAATTTGCTAATTATAATTATGAAATAGGGTCGCAGACCGTGACAAAAACTGGTGGAGCCGTTTTATTTTTGAATAAAAACTATTTTTGCAACAACGAATCTCTTGATTTCCAATTTAATTTTCATTATTAATTAAATTTTAGACATATTAAGGAAAAGTTAACAATGTGATGTTGGAAAATTGGATAAATATATGCAATAAATGTTATGATGCACTTTACACTTTACTTTGGTTCTAAAATTTTGACCTGCTGCGAGTATTAAATTTAGATTTTCATTACGATCAATGCGCCATAATTATTGAGGGATGTATTATTTTCCTTCATCCCATATTTGTAAATTATTATCAGGCAGAAATGGCCAATCCTAAAAATTCCCCTTAGCTTTTGGTCACATTTATCTGGAACACCTAGGCCGCAGTTCTTAAAATCTTTAAAACAGTAGAAAAGTGAAATTTACTTTCCTTGTCACTAGATTTTCAACCATTGTAGAAGATATTTCACTAGGGACAATTTTTATTGCAAAATGCTCTTATGAAAATGATCATATATCTGATATTTCTGTTATTTCCATTGTCATTTTCATTAATTTTTGATGAATTTAAAGCTAGAGAACAGAATAAATTTTACTGCATTACTTTTGAAAAATCTATATATCCACATTTGCACGCTTTGACAAATTTAAATTAAAGTTCTTTATAAGATGAGAAGTAAAATATAACTTTGAACCAGCTGGATAAGTAAGCAACAAGCTTAAAAGGAGATATCAATAATAAATGTAATAAACTATAAAATAATTAATTGCAAAAAATACAGTATAATGTATATAATGGAAGAATTTTGATAAACATATCTTAAATAATTTAAATATATTATTTAGTTTTTTATATTTTAAACAAAACGTCCACAGCCTCTGTGTTTTAATGGATAATTATAAATTGAAATTTCCAAAAATTTCTAAAACTAATGCGAATGGGTTTACCGCGGTGGTCGGGCGTTTTAGCAAACATCTGCTAGTTGTAAACCCTTTCTTCTCTTTTTTCCCAATTTAAAATTTTTGTCTTGACCGAGATGAATAAATAATATTAATTGCAAAATTTAATGCTGTTTGAATTCACATATTTCTTGTTTGTCCTTTCAGAAAGTGAATAAATTGTGTTTATTTTATTCACACAGAAAAAGTCAAAAGGGAATAACGGTTGAAATTTTTTGCCCAAAAACCAACTGCGAAACTGGTGCGCCTGCCCATTTCATGGAGCATCATTGCAGAGGACAAATTGGTCCAGAGGGAGTGAAGCAAATATTTGAGAGCGGTTGGTGATTAAAACGGAGAGCTCTTTTGCGGTGGGAATTAATTCCGACGGCGGCCCCGAAACCGCTCTATTTAGTCTATTTGCTGCGACACAAATGCGATCGCTTTTCACGAGACGGACACTGGGGTCTGCAAACTTTTTATTTTTACAGCTTTAGGAAAAAGCGGCTTTTTGCGGAAAACACACTCGTCCTCGCGAGAATTAGCTCGAGCGAATTTAAAACGGCGACTTCACCTGCCGTGTAAATTCTCGGAATCTGTCTGCCGCGTTATCTCTGTTTATTTGGTTGATTAGCCGTTCGCTCTCTCGCTCGACCGAGTCTCGCGTCAGAACAAAAATGCATCTTTATTGCCGGCTCATCAGCACACAAACCTCACCTTCCAGGGTCATTCAGAAACTATGCCGCGATAACCAAGAGGAAAAAACTCACATTCCAACTGAATCATCAGTACAATCTCCAGAGTTTATAATTTATAATTTTTGAGATTGTCAAATGGTCGATGAAGTTACATAATATTTCTAATATTACTTTGGAGTTAATGTGGTTTCTAAAGTTATTTAGAAGAATAACCGAAAGTTGCGGTTTCTTGGACTGTTTTACTTTTGTTTAAAAATATACTGAATTGAAATTCTCATGAGTGACTTTCAATTTCAATGGGAATAGAAACATCTTGTTCTTTTTACTTTTATGCATATAATAGTGCCTTGAAAACCGTTTGAAGGAATTATTTATTATTAATAAAATATTATTTAAAAAGTAATTGAGAAGCTCCTCAAAAAGAATAGAAAACTCTTTCTTTTTACTTGTTTTTACTTATTTTTATACTCTTGAGCCAAATATTTATTACAATTTTTTAGACAAATGGGTGGATATTTTCAGAGCAGTTTCAAATATATTAGTTTTGCTATGCAAGGTCAAATGATGCTATAGTTCAAAAACAAAAATTCTTATGCAAAAACCTTAAAAGCAGGTTTTATGTATTAAAAAAAACTAATTCAAACAATAATAATCTTTGAGAATTTGCAAAATATTTAAAAGAAACCTTAAAAAAAATTGATGTTAATAAACAGAGATGTTTGATCGTCACATATTTTTTTTATTTTTTTATTGCTATCCCAGATCGACGTTTCTGGTTTAAATCCCACTTTATAGGATGAAATTGCAGCTAGGGGTGATTTTAGACAGTCCTTTAATTCCAAAGGTTTACGGTACGACTCCCTTATAAACACTCGTAAATTATTTTTTATTTTCTTATAAATTAGAATAAATAAAAGAAAATACTGGAAATACTCAAGTTTCAATGTAAAAGATTCCCCATTTTTATGAATTACATAATATTTATTAAAAAGTAATTATTACATTTTTTAATAGAATTAAAAGTTTAGCTTTAATTAAAACCTTTTCGCCAAAAGCGCGTCGATACCTAATTTATCCGCAAGGACACATTTTAATTTACTTCCTCTGGAGCGAAATCCCTGCAAATATCGGAGCGCGCGCAGACAGAGTTAATTAACGCGCGGGTCTGCGTGTTGTCCTGGTACAGGGGTGGCCGCGAGCGCTTGACATTTGCAGGTGAGCGTGGGTTGCGCCGCCAAAGGTCAAGGGTCGGTTCCGATTTTTTTTCTCTCCATTATTTTTGCGTTTCACTTACCCAGTCTGTTTCCGCTCCTCCGCTTGACCCGCAAACAGATGGTGCGTGAGCGAATGCACTGAAATCAAAACAGCGGCCAATTAATCGCCGTGAAAGAATCTCTACACTCGATGCAATTACTCGGGACCCTCTTAAAATAAATTTACTTGAAGTACATGGAAAAATACACACACTTAGACTCCGTAAGACTCGGCAATGACGGTGAGTAAATTTTCAACAAGAAGAGATAAAGTTTAATTTGAAGAACTGCAATAAATTTGAATCTATATAAAACTATACATTATAATTTTATCTATTTGTCTTAATTTACCAAATCAAATTAAGCATAAAGTAGTCAGATTGTTCGGGATTAGTGAATGGAAACAGTCAAAAGAATAAATAACAAATGAATTTTGTTTTATTAAGGAAATGACGAAGTTGTGAAATCCATGTATTATTTTTTACGATCAGAAACAAATCGATGGGCGTTTTAATACTATAATTGGTTTGTGTTTTATAATTTTATAGACAAATTATGTAAGATCTGTTTTTCTATATCATTTGGAGATTTGAACAGAGTTCGATAATGAGAACATCAGTTGCTACTGAAGACATAACTTTCATAGAAATTAAATAATATTTTACTTTAATTATATCAATGTGAAGTACCTCGACGAAATTATTAGTTGTAAAGCTTAACTTTGTTAAATAATATTTTTTTTGCAAGATTTCATAGTATTCTTGTTAAAATCTTAATAAATATTAGTTTTAGAAATTAAACAAATTTTACATATTAATCCAAAGTCCAAAGTATAGAAATTAAAAACTTGTTGATGACTTGTTGATTAATTAGATTGAAGCTTTTTGTAAATATAAAAATTCCCCAAAAAATTAAAAGTTTTGTGCCGCCCTTGCTTTTTGCTTTCACAGTCAGTGATCAGTTTCATTCATGTTCTCCGCGTTCTCCGTTTGCGCTCCGACCCAGCGTTTGGCCCCGCTGGAGACATCTGGACGCCTCAACGTGAACTGCAAACTCGCGAGGGCGTGCATTGTGCTGGCACCGTTTTCAATGGAAACATCAAGTCGCTTATCATTTTTCTCTTAAATTTTTGTTCCTAATAAAGCATTATGGCGATTGTATTTTGCAATTTGTAAGAAATTAAAATAATTTATCATGTAAAATTTAATTTGAAAATTTTATAGAATTGTGGAGTCAATACAAATGACGCTCCTCACATTATTATTGGAAATATTGGAATTGAAACATTAAATATTATATAAAATTTAAGTTTTAAATTCTTACGAACTTGAACTAAGAAAATGATGAAAAGAGTGAAATTATTTCTAGACATAGTCAATTGAAGCTAATTGTTGCTAATTGCAATTACTTATTATAATCTTTAAATTTTTTCCCGATTCTGTCATAGGAAAGCAGATATTCGAGTGGAAATTTAATAACATGCGGCTAGTGCAGAAAGAAATAATAAAAAATTTTATTTTAATAAAATAGTTAAAACAGTTTTAAATGATAAAACTTTAAATAATTATTATATTACAAGTATTAATTAATAAAGAGTAATAAAAAAATTGAAACTGTTTAAATTTGTTTTGCAAACAACCTCGGCTTTTGTCAATTATTTTGAGCCCCGTGCACTAATTAGCAGAGCACAATGCAATGTTGGCGCGGGGCGTGTATTGAATCGATGCTGGTGTTTCGCCTCAAGACGTGTGTATTATACACATTCGTGTGCTTTCTCGTCTCGCTGCTGAGAGATATATATTAATTTTGCGTGCACCATGGCGAGAGCCCCTCGATAAAATTTAATCAGCGCAGCCAAACGGAGCCTCTCAGACGCAGATGTCTCCCTCCGCCTCCTCTCTCTTTCATTCATTCCGATGCACTCGCTAATTAAACAAAGCCGCCCACCCCCGAACACCCTCCTCAAATGACGCGAGCCGCAGAGATGGATTTTGAAGAGAGAGACAACCCAGGGATTAAAACGATTTGGATTCGAGGCACAAGGAAATTCCAAATGACGGAGCAGAGACAATTTGAATCAAATTTGGTCTGAAATGCAATTTTCTATCTGTTGGTCTGGCTTCAAACAGGCTTCAAGTTAAATCTGTTATCTTGAATTATAATTTATCTCAATAATTCAATGAAAATGAACATAATTATTTACAATTAAACTATCTCAATTTTGACGATATAAAAAAATAATATACATATATTATTGAATAAAATAATATCTATTAGATAATTCCGCGATCGTAAAGTTACTTTATCAAATACGGTAATTTGTTGGTAAAGGAAAAATTAAATTAATTTAGACTGCCTTTCTTATTTTATGATCTTTTTATAAGCTGATAAAACCCCCCCACCCCTCAAATATGAGGTAAAAGCTGTTCAAAAATATTTCAGTACGTTTTTTCTGTCAATTTTAATATTCCTATCAGAGTCATCCGCATTTGTCTTTGAGTTTCTTACTGATTGACATAAATATACTTAAAAATTAAAACCGGGCGAGCCTCGTTGCAGGCACGGTTGCAGGGAAAAAAATTAAAAGATAACTGACCCCAAAAGGTGACCTGCGATCTGCAGTACATTAAAAACCTTTTGTTGTGTCCGACCTAAAACTAAGTGGGAGGAAATTCATAAAAAATTGAAAATAAAGTGGGCAGAATTTAATTTTATTTAAAAAAAAATTGCAGAAATTAATTAAGGAAAGGAGTCAGTCAACATCTTCATACTGTTTACTGATATTTAAAAATTTAGAAAGAAACATGTCAACAATATTGTTAGAAAATGTGGGAATTCGAGGAGATATTCAAGAATTGTTTCTTATTCAAAAAAACAAAACAGCTCTAATAGTTTTGAACAACGTCTGCAGAGTGAAAATAAATAATACTTCAAAAAACCACCAAAAATAAGTAAACCCATTTTTACTTCACATTAAAGACCCACTCCGGTCATTTGTATTGCTCTCTATTCTGAAAGATTGCTATATTTCGAGTATATCTGGTGAAAACAATATTATTTGAAAATTCCAAACCGTTGCGTCTCAATGAAAAGAAAACCTAAATACGAGAGATTCGCGCGAAAAACGTGTGAGAATTGAGTAGCCAATCAGATTTCGTCCAAATAGCTACAGAATTTGGCCACATTGGCGCTGCGATCGCTGATTTTGCCACTAATGCCCCACGGCGCTGCAGAAAACTTAGCAAAATCAGCGATCGCAGCGCCACAAGTGACAAAAACCTGCAGTTTTTGTACAAAACTGATGGATCTGATTGGCTACTCAATTCTCACACGTTTTTCGCGCGAATCACTCGTATTTAGGTTTTCTTTTGATTGAGACGCAACGGTTTGGAATTTTCCAATAGTGTTTTCACCAGATATGCTCGAAATTTAGCAATCTTTCAGAATAGAGAGCAATACAAATGACTGGAGTGGATCTTTAATTTTTCAATATTTTTCAAATAAAATGAAGCTAAATTCTAGAATGGCTTTATGGTTCAAAGTTCCAGTTCTATATTTTGAGACACACCGAGTATCATAATTTTTTAGAATGCTGGGGCTATCGAATCTCCCGTCATAGAATATTAAATTCAGGCCACGGAAAATTTGGAGGCAGCAAAAAATTTGCATGTAATGAATGCAGAGTGGCCTCTATATTGGAACCACCTGTTCTGGCTGCGGAAGGCGGGCGATCGTTCGCCGCATCCATCGGCGAAATATGAAATTAGGAGGGTGAAATACGAGAGCAGCGATGGCCCCGAGCGAGGGAAGAAAAGACGGTCGGCGGTCAGCGATGGCAAATCAATCGGCCGAGCCCCCGCCCAATAAGGAGAGCGATTGCCCCCGGGGGACGTGTCGTCGAGGGTGCAAATGGACGGGGTTGATACCTGGTGGATGTGCGAGATGACTTCGGTGTGCGACTCGTCTTCCAGCGATCTGCCGTTCACCTCCAGTATCTCATCACCAACCTCCAGGTCCGCTTTGTCGGCCGGAGAACCTGCAACAAAATTCAATGATTTTCATTAATATTGAGAAAAATATTTTAGTTTTCAAGAAAGTTAAATTTATTTAATTTAATTTGTCAAAACACAGCTTTAAATCAACTTTCTAGTGCCCATGAATAAATTTATAGGCTATAATTGGCTAAATAAAGAGTCCAAAATCAAACCAGGACTGATAATTATGTTTACATTATTATTTATTTATAAAATTTCTGAATCTTTCCCCTAAATAGTTTTTACGTCAAGTTGTTTCTTTAAATCCAAATGAGTCTAAAATGTTCGGAAAATTTATATTTAATCGTAAATTCTTTAATTTATATTAATTAATTATAAACTTTTCATTTGAAAATTTAAAAAAATTGACTGAAATCGAAAATGGGCTTAATTTTTTCCTATTTTTATCTCTTTCTTTAGTATATTTTTTTGTACAACATTGTGTGTGTTAAAAAAAAAGTGCACTTGCGATTTGCATAAAAAAAATTATAAAAATTCATAACTGATTGTAAGTTCCTTCCTAACTTTCGTTTCAAAAGAATGTATAAATTTCATTCATCAGTTATTTTGGCAATTAAAATTATTCTATAAACTGATCCGGTTTTTGGTGCCAAAATGACGTAGCTGAATTTTATTATTATGGAGATAAAAGTGGACGGGAACTTTTGTCCAACGATATATAAAGAGTGTGCCAAAGGGTCAATTAATTCTCATTCGTCGAGGAAATTGCAGTACTTTTTCACTCTGGCTCTTTGGAGAGGAGGAATTTGCCATTGTGGAAGTGACATTTTAAGGAGCGGCGGAAAGTGAAAAGAATTCGCGCTCGCTCGCAAGTCATGCAATAAGAGCGGCAATTACGAGGGCGGAAAGTTTAAAGGCGCCGCGCGCATAGTTGTGCAGCCCAATTAGCAATCATCTTCGGCCCCTTCCGAGCCCTTGTGAAAATTTCGCACTGCCGCCGTGCTGCATTTTTTAACAACCATACGGGCAAAAAAATGCGTTACGAGCGGCCCTGGGTGATAACTCTGCCGGCAAACCCGCCGCGCTCATTATTCCACCCTCAAAGATAAAGGAACAGCCAATAAATTCTGAGCCGACACTCAATATTTTACTATGTATTACTTTTAATGCTAAATAATCTTTTAAAATTATTAAACATTATCGAAATTTTAAATTTTATTTAACCTCATATTATATTATTTTGCAAATAAACATAACATAAATTTAATATTTTTTTTTAACTTTAAAAAATATAATTTAGGTTATTTCAAAAGTTTGTTTCTTTTACACAAACAATTATTATTTGTTTAATTGAAAAACTTTAAATTGTCAAAGTTGAAAGCTGTGTAAATGTATTGGTTCAGATTCAGACAATCGTCAATTCCGTAGTAGACTGTGGAACCTATGATGCCGAACATAATTAAATCAATATATAGAAATTATTGTGCTGGAATTGGAAAAAATAATTCACTATCACTGTCATTATTTAACTGATATTTGTTGACAAAGCATTTTTAGTGGTGGGCTAAATTTTATGCAATGAGCAAAAAGCGTATTTTTAGTTTCAAGTAAGAGATCCAGTAAGTTTTCTCATATTTACATTGATTAGTAAAGAAAGGATTCTGATATTATTTGAAATCGATTTTGAACAGCGGATCAAATATTAAAATCACTGATGAAACATTTTTGGGAAACCCTTAATTGTCAGAAAAAAGACATCCGAAATTTTTTTTCGGCATTTGTCCGAAAATTATTCATCAGAAATTATTTATCAGAACAACAGTTTTTATTTATCCGAAATCCATTTATCAGAAAACGCTTTTAAGTTTAAGTCTTGGTTTATGTGAAGTGGACTAAAATCTAAACTTATTGATGGCAAAAATGTTATTATTTCTTGATTCTGATTTTGTGAGCAGAGCAGCCTTCATAAGATGTGAAAATAAATATTGATTTTATTTAGCATTAGATTCATTTTTTTGTGTGTAGTAATGAAAATTTTCCAATCTAGAATCCTTACCTGGCATTAGGCAATTTAGTTCGAAATTGAAATCGCATGGTAGATTAGCCAGATTAGGCGAGGACTGTGGGGCAATTATATAATTTTCAATTACTCAAGAAATTACGCATAGTTAATGGCCGTTTAAATAGAAATATAAGTACTAAATACTTTGATTAAAATCTGACTGAAATCATAATTCAACCATTTTAAAATTGACTTTGTTAAGCCCAATATAATTACGAATTCCCAGCAGGCAGATTAGAGAAATAATTATTCCACATTTAAAAATCATTCAAGAGGGGAAGAGGTGGAAGAAAATCAATGAGATATAAATGTAGCCGCTTCTTACTTTGTTATTATTAAAATAAGGGAGGAAGAGAATTATAGACAATTTAAGCGATTAAAGTTGGATTTTGTAAAGCTTTGATATTTTTTACCCTAAAAAAAGACTTTTTTGAGACTTCGTATCATTTTTTCCGTTTGAAAAACTTACAAAATTGTTAAGTTAATTCTGCCATTTTTATTATTATGATTTAAAATGATCAAGAAAGTTATTAAAAATAAAAACTTTTGAAAAGAAGCAAAATTTAGTTTCTCAACACGCATCCCATAAACGTCAGAATAGGACTTTTATATTCGTCTATTCCATTCCATCGGCAAATAAAGAAGTGATGAAAAATGGTGCTTATTTCAGGCGCAGACCCAAATCGGTCCTTTCCCCTTTTCGGCCCACGCACATATGCAAATAGAAGAGGGCGGCGGAATCCTTTCGATTTGGGCTCTCTTTGTTTGCCGACGCCGCTCAGCCACTCTCTCTCTCTCTCTCTCTCTCTCTCTCTCTCTCTCTCTCTCTCTCTCTTTCACTCACCGGCCCGCCGCTGTGCGTATTGCGCTCGATCGTGCGGTTTACCCAAGATGTTGACATTGTTAAAACGATCGTAAAAAGCGCTGCCATCCCGTCGACCCTATTGTGATGTACGTACTCGCATTAAACGCAGAGGATCAAAGCGAATTGTGCCGCGAGCTCCGCTTGCCCCTGCAGCTCAAAGGTTCGCATTTCAAATATATAATATTACGCGCACAAACCCCGCTTTCTGCGGGTTGCAGCGCAGCTTTTCCGTGCAAAGGTGTCGGAGTGGGTGCTACTGATATATACAGCCTTTTCAATATGGAGAGAGAGAGAGAAGCGACGCCCCGAGGCAGATCGAAATTTTATGCCCGTTTGAATTCGTGTGAAGTCGAAATACCTCCAAAGGAAGAAGGGTCGTCGTGTATTTATTTTCCTATCAAATAGTTTTGTTTAAAAAAAAAAGTGAAGCTTTCCCAAGAAGGGAAAATTTATAACTTAATTATTGTTGAAATTAAAGCCAATCAAATTTCTTCATTTTGCTGATAAGGATTTCAATAATGAACAATTAAATTTTTGAGAAATTTAAAGAATACTTAAATTAATTTCTTTGATCACTTTAATTGTCCTTTTCATCAGAAATTAAGGAGGGTCTAAGATAAATAATGGCCTGATCGATACTGCTCAAAATTTGACACTGCATAAAAAAATGCAGGGGAAATAATGAGGGGCTTTTGTTGACCCATTTAAACCATATTAAAAACCAATTTTGACTCCAGAATACAACAATCGGCAACAATCAAACAATATACTTGCGACTTTATCACAAGCTTTTATTATAAAAAAATGGAAAAAAATTATTTACTACATTTTTTTTCCAAAATTTCTGCAAAAATTCATCTTATTTAACCAACGTTTATGATACATGTTTTGTCTTTTCTGCTTTTAAGCCAAGTTTATTTTTCTTTTTTGCTTCAAAAAAGCTGATAATTATTCATTAGCCTCCACAGCATGACCGTGCATATTATAAATAAACTGGATAAGTTAAAAAAAGACCAAAAAAGAGGAGTAAAAAGCAAGGTGAGTTTACAAAAATTTAAAAATAATTATATTTTAAATTTCTAAGCACATAGTTTTTTAATTTATTTTCTTACAAAATGTTTTTATATATTTTTATTAAAATATTTTATAATATATTTGTTATTTTTGTACAAGTATTTTTACACAATTTAAAGTTTAGCAATAAATTATTTGGCTCTAAATTGTTTTATTTATAAAGTGTGAACTGGGTTGAAATAAATGTAAAGAAATTTTATTGATCAAAGCCTTCCAGGTTCACGGCATAATTTAGTTTAATCATACTAAATAAATTAATATGTAATCATTATACTAACCAGAGTAATTGATAAAGGTATAACAAATGATTAGAGCATTCTTTTATTTGTTCGTAAAGAAATAAAATGATCAATTAAAACTATTCGTAAGGTCAGGAATGTAAACAGTAAAATTTGTACAAGAATCATGCCGACCTAAACTTCACAATTTTCAACACAATTCCCTGAGGCCCATTTGAAGCTCTTTGATTTCGACCAAGAAGTTGAGCCGCAGCTGGCCGGGTCGCAGTTGGGAGCAAAAACTTTGACGAGGGACCGATGTGGGGGCTTAGGGGACAAAGTCACGTCCCTAATGCCGGCTCTGCATCAATGAAGAGCCGCTTAAGAGGATAATTAGCAGTGCCCGTCGTCGAGCCTTAGGTGTCGGCCAGTGTGTGTGTTGCAATCAATAGCCACCCTGGGCCGCCGCATCCGGCCTCGATGCAAATTGTTACTTGTCCAACCCCGACCGCCGTGATCAATTTGCATTCGGTTCGTCTCAAGTGGAGAGAAATCTCGGGTTAAAAATAAGATTCGGCGGCACAGCCGTGAAAGACGAGTTGTTATTGCGTTGGCACAACATGGTGCTCTAGTGAAAACCTATTTCATAAAAAAAATAAGACGCCCCGCAATTGTCATCGCCTACTTGTTGCCGAAGAGAGTGAAAAAAAGTAATAATCAAAATGGAGCATTTGACAGTTGGAAAATATCCTTCGTTAGCTTTAGGTATGGTTTTTTTTGCAAATTTAATAAAAAACATTATATTTTTTTTAATTTGGGAAA